GTTACATAATGCATCTGGGAAGACAGAAAAGCTCTCATCCCCTTCTTCATCTCTGCATACCTGCACCTAGAGTCTGGGCTCTCTCTTACGTATACCCTGGTGTCTCCAGTCAGTTTTTATTCATCCTTCACTGAGGTACATTTCACACTGAGGCATCATTACTTCTGCATTCAATTCTATCACTGAATATCCTAAAATGAAGCACAGCCTGACATCCTACAGTGTGTGAAAGTGAAACAAAAATGTTGTCTCCTTTTCTTCTGTGTGATGTAAGTGTAAAAATCCTTTCCCTCCCTGTGGCTTGGTCATTCTAACCTGATCAAGTGCCACTCAGTACTTCCTCATCTTAGACAATGGGTTAGAAGCTGCAGCCCCTGTGGGACAAAAAAACTATATAGAGAAGAAATCATAAATAGCCTCAAAGTAATTAAGGCCAAGTTTTCCCTTTCTCCAGCCTTTGTGCAATTTCCTACCTCTTAAACCTAACAAGGGCAAAAGATATAAATTTCCCTTAGAAACTAGGCAGTTAAGTCCATATCTACACAACACAGCTACTGCTCTCTGTAAAGAGATTAATTGTATCTTGTATTAATTGCATCCTGGTCCTGTAGAGAAGAGGAATCTTTGTACATATACAGGGGCCCTTGGTGCCAAACCTAAGGGTTTGCAGAACGTGGTCACTGACACAGCACAGACAGAATGACCTACATCTATACTCACCATAGGGTCAGTGAGCATGAAAACAATCAGACAAAAAAACATCTTAAAGCTGGATTTAATGCCAGTAGCCAAGCTGGTTCAATGCCTGTTGTTACAGAGTCATAAGATTTGGGCACAACAGGAAAAAGGCAATGTTTTTTATTAGGAGAGATGAAGCTGCAGGTAGGGGAGGAGCAATATAGGTATTTTATCACCCACCAGGCTTATAGAAGCTAAGTATATTCATTTTTATATTACAAACCTGATCAGTTACACAGCTTGCTCTGCCTGGGTGCAATGCCAGGATGAATGTTGTTTTTGTGAGGATTCCCATGCTCAGAGGTACTCCTTTCTCCCTGCAGTTCAACAACCAGTCGTTACTCCTTTTTTTTAAGATAATTTTCTAGCAAATACAATCAAATTACTTTAATATTTGCCATGTTATTTGCTCATTAAAATTAATAATGAAATCACTGAGCTTCTACATGCTATCTGATCAGACAGCTCTCACTGCTAACGTTCTTCTGTAGGACTGAAAGTCCTTCATTGTGTTTTTACATTATTCAACAGGATGGCCTTTGATCAAGCTCAATCTTAATACTGCTGACATGGGAACAATGACACTGACAGGATATGAAAAATGCTTTCTCCAAGAATCTCTGAAATCAGCTGTGCTACAATTGCTGTCTTGGCACCTCATGCTGCCACCAGTCTCTCTAGTGTCTGAGTGCCTCCCATGTTAAATCAATATTCACATATACCAGTAGGAATAGAATGGAATAGAATAGAATAGATTTCAGTTGGAAGGGACACACAAAGATAATCTACGCTAACTGCAACTAAGTATTGAAAATCTCAGTACTTTGTTAACAGTCAAAAGTACAGCATATCCTAATTTTATTTTTTCTCTGCACTTCCCCTGATTTGGATCAGAAAGTGTTTCTTTAATGTTGTCAATATTCAGAGAGTTCTGTTATGATTCAGTTTTTTGGCATATGTGAGGAACCATTAGAGAGCTTTTAATAATGTATTTGTAAAAAGCATATGGCAATGCTTTTTCAGAATAAAACCTTCCAAACAATCCTAGAGTATCTGAAGTACCAAGAATAACTGCTCATAAACACAGAGCAGTTTATCACTAATCTTCTGTGACAGTATGAAAATGGCTTTACCACAAGAATATAGGCCACTTTCTTATCTTGCGGTATTTTGTGCTTGGTCAAAAGAAGCTGAGTTCTGATAAAAAATGGTTAAAACTTTTACTAACGTTCAAGTGCTCTACAAAAGCTATAAGTAAACATTATCCAATTTTTTTTATTATTATAAGTTAGTTCTTATGATTATGATTTTAACTAGACTGCTATTATGATTATAAATTAGTTTTTATTATTATAAAATAATTTTGCAACTACCTCTTCCCACAATGATTTCTACTGATTTCACAAACCAAAGAAATATCCAAACAAAGGGAACAGGCATCCACTGAGCAATGAGAACTGCTGCCTCACTTCTGTGCTTCAACCAAAGCTTGCCATTATGTTAATGTCCACCTCCCTGCATAAATGTGATGTTTGATACCACAGATTCTTCACAAAATGATCATCCATGGTACTATTTATCTCTTGGATAGCAATTCTGCCACATGTTTAGGAGTTAGTAAAAAACCTTGAGGGTGTACTTTATTCTGAGAGAATTTTACTCACAAGGGAAGGTGTGAATAAAATGGTTGCAATGGAATTTCCATTGAGGCCATTAGATAAACTTTAATTCACTTCACCAGGCTTTGAGTAAGTTTTTGCCCAATTCTCTTTTTTTCTTCCTGTGGCTCTGACATGCACAATGTAAGCCCATCACACTGAGAATGAGATGATTATTTATTTCACAATGATATTTTTGATAGTTCAGCTGCTCTTACTGTCTCCCATGTTCAGAACAGTTTGAATTTCCTGGTACCTCTGGAAAAGTGATATTTCTCCTCTCAGTTTCTCAGGGTAGGTCTGGCTGTTTTCTCATTAGGCTCACAGCAAGAAATAAATGAAGCAGGTGACTGGCACTGAGATTTCAATTCTGATGGGATCTCTGCTACACAGTGAGTTATAGCTGTAGCATTAAGTATGTGCATTTAGGTGAGAAATAAAGATACAAAATAAGCTGAGTATCTAAACTCAACTGATACAGTTATGGCACTATATAAAACAAGACTGTACACGTTCTAGCAGATTTCTCTTTTGTTCATAACATCCTTTAACAGGTTTGACTGAAATAGTCCTGTGATGCCCTATTCCCAGTCCTTTCCCCAGCACACCATCATAATTTGTATTAGCAAGAGCCTACATACTCAAAAGGTCAAATCTGTTTCTGTTGTAGTCTGTATACATTCTTCTGTTATCTCTAGGGGAAAGTAGATTGATAAGTCAATTGAATGGATGTCATGTTCATGCAGAGATAAGAAGCTTCCTTACCAACAAATTTTATCATCAGATTTGGAGCCACTTGGTTTTGTGCACTGTGGAGAGCTGCCTATTTTGCTAGTGTGGCCAAGCAAATGTGAATAGGTTATTTAACAAAGATTGTGGTTATAATTAAATTGCAATTGTTGGCTGTGTTTTTAGTGGCCATTCTGGTTCTGATTCTACTTTATTATAAGGAAGTAAAAAATTATAAGGAAGTAAAAAGCCTCAGATATTGGTGAGAACAAGAACATTGAAACCCTTGATTAAGCTTTCAAATCTTGAGGCTTTTGTTTTAGTCTACAGGGAGAACCATGACATTGGAGATTATTATTATGAGCCATAAAAAAGATCAAAAAGTTCTTCTTATGCATATTAAGGATAAATGCTTTCTAATATACCAAGAGAGAATAAATTGAGCATATCTAATATGAACAATATAAAGATGGAAATGCCTACAAACACATCCTATCAACGTTCTGTAAAGTAGCTGTCCTTAAATACTGGAAAACATCATATTGTTGAAAATTAATACAATTAAGTGTCATTTGTGCTATCTGAATCTGAGCTGTCATAGCATATACAACTTGAGGCACCTTCTTTTCCACACTATGTACGTTTATATGACCATTTAAATATTTTCCTTTTTATCTTAGTTCAAAAGATAACACTTGTGTTTACTTTATTATTTATTATTTATAACCTTGATACATATTCATTTTATATTCTGTTCTGCTCAGACATATTATTCATTAATATCCTCAATTTCTTCATTGTCAAATCTTCCAGACTTTAGAGGTGGTTTATGATTTGCATGAATTACACAATTTTATTTTTCTTCATATCTGAAAATAAGGAGTTCCTTATGTTATTCTAATTTCATGTTTCAGCTCTGTCAGAAATGCTTCTGAATACATTGAATTGAGGTAAAATACTGGGAGACAGCAAGATCTGATTCTATTTTTATGTCAAGGAAATTTCTTGAAAAGAGCTGCTCCTTCCTTAGTTTAAATTAGAATAGAATCAAACCTAACTGAGGACCAGTTCTGAATTTGTCACAGCATATATTTAAACTATAGTATTATTCTCAGGTTTGGAGAGAAATCTATAATTCAGGATTCAAAAGAGGATTTCTAGCTCCTGCTTCTAAGACTTCCATATATATGGGTTGTTTATTCAAGCTAGCTTTTAAGCCCAACAGGAATTTGGACTCATCATGTTGTGGTTTTGCTTATATTTGACATTGACAAAATTTAGTGATTTTGAAGCCAAGGTTACTTTTGTAAATAATATGTAAATAAGTGATTTTTTTCCCCTTCTACGTGGAAGACTGAATGGACTTGATACACTGTAAGCTTTCACTATTCTTTTCTCTCTCTTTGAAGAATCATCTGAATTCAGAACTTACACGGAAAAATAGCCTGGAGACTAGAACACGTAAACCTCCACTGAGACACCACGCTGAAGGCTGTGGTCAAGGATGTCCAAGCCTGATGCACTGAGCACTAGCAAATAGGCAATTAAGGTTCCCAGAGAAGGCCTGCAAGTTATATAACACAACTATACCTTTTATTACATTGATCAAATGCAATCAGGCTGTTACAGTTACAGGAGAAAGAAAAATCTATCCGGCTTGTTGAAATAAGATCTTTGCATGGCATAATAGACATTAATTACACTGCATCCATTAAATGAGTCACTTCTAATTAAGCTGGCATACAAGGAGCGTTTTTTATGTGCAGCTATTGCCTAAGCTAGGAAGTGCAATAAGTAAACTTTAAGCCATCAGTTCCTTAACCAGCACAAACTTATACAACCTTACTAAAATTCAGTGGGACTTTGCAAACTTACCATGGGGGAGACAGTTGCCATTCAAATTCAGATTTCCTTACTTGCAATCTCCTGCATAGTGACTGCTTCACAGGATGCCTACAAGAGTGAAATTTATATGAGGTTTTCTTGCTGCTAACACAGGAATCTTGGGTGCTCAGATTATGTGTACTGTTATCACGGGAAGCACCAGCTGCACCGCACGGAGACAGGCAGTGTCTTTTGGAAATATAATGGGTTCTTCCCAAGGGGTCTGGCTGTCAGCTGCTTTTCTCCTAGATTTTTGTCAGAGGAAGCCAACTTTTACCACCTCCTCTTCAGAACTGAAGGGTAAAAGGAGTCTCTGTAAATTTGTTACTTCTAAAGACCACAGTAACGACCATGTGTGGTTGTCTCAGAGAACTGTTTCAGGAGCTCTTCTGGTCCTCACATAGGTCATATGTCAGCACTGTGAGAAGCCAAGAGGGCACATTATTAACAGCTTCCTGAGTATGTGCTAACACTACATTAAATGGGTTGGTGGGTGCAAGACCCATAGCACATATCTAGACCAAGAACTGGAGTCCATGTATGGGCAGAGAGGCAGTGAGGTCAGCATGGAGTCCCTGCAAATCATACCCTGCACTGAAGTAAGGAGTCTCCTAAGTTGCACTGCTGTGAAACCACTTTTATTTATTTAGGGAATTCTGATTTTCTCTGTTACTGTAAATAATATTCTGCTTCAAGGGAGACTTTTCTGTCAGCAACACCCTCAAATTTAGACCTTACAACACCTAGGATAAATAAAACCAAGAAATTAAGACTTTGTCCTCATGCTTGCTATGACCTTGCTGGGCAAAACATATTTTCTATGTATTTAAAGTTGTCTTCACCCCCTGCCTCATTCCTGTCTGATTAAGTAGACTGAAAGGTTTTCTGTGTTTTCTATACTATTATAACCTCTCTCTGTCCTGACAGCGTTTGGAGTGTCAGAATGCTTCTGTAATATAAACTGTGGTGTCAGACTCTATATACTTTTCGGATGAATTGTAGGCTCCTGAATACAGTCCTGCACAGTATGAAATGGTATGAAGAGAGATGCTGTAATAAAAAAAATATTTTTTAACAGACATTTTACCTAACTGAAAATGTCAGTATTTTTCACTTCCTCCATTTCCAGTGAATCAGCTGATCCATACTGGTAAATAAGGTTGTAATGTTGCTATAAGCAACTAGCAATCGACTGGCATTACACAAGTTTTACAAGCATTACTCTGAGCCTGCTGCAAAGAATATAGCAGGGAAAATCGTATTTTCAAATGATAAGTTGGCCTGTGTACCTGCATAAGGTGAATTACACAGAGATTTCTTCATCCTCAGTGCAGACCATAGTTCAGGTAAGTCTTTGGCAAATTATGTAAGTATAAGAAGTAAAAGGCTACCATGGTCCCTCATTCCCTGTAATTCCCAACATTTCATTAAATGCCAGGGTGCAAAAATCAAGGAGAACATTACAAATCTATCCTTTCACATGAACATAATCACTGTGAAGGCATATAAGAGAGGAAAGGCCAGCAAATTCTTCATATGGACAAAAAAGTAACATCTGCTGCCAGATCTGTAAAATCATTTGGATCTTCTGTCTTATCAGTTTAAACTCTCAAGATCCTTTTTTATGTTTGCACAAGTCCCTAAAATCATAATGAAAAAGGCTTTGTTCAACTATATGCCAAAGGTAGTGTGGAAACTGTTACCTGATAGGATGTCTGCAGAAATCGTGAGCCTTACCATGGGTGAAGCTACACGTACCTGCACATGCATTGTTACCAAAGGGCCCTTCCTAAACTGATAGACTCTTCAATCAGCTTATAGTCTCTGCCTTGTTTCATGTTTTAAGACAGTGCTTGTCAAGTACATAGGCAAAACTTACTGATATGTACTATATGTGAGAGCCATCAATTATCATCTTAGCATAATTTTTGTGTCCTATTTTTCTCTTACTAATAAACCTGACAAATACATTTTTTTCTTTTCAGAAGTAATATACAAGAAATCTTATTATCACAGTTGTTCATCCATCTACACATCCTGCTAGTGATAAAAGCTTCAAATGTCAGGGAGAGACAATTCAAATCTCTTGTATTAATGCATTAAATCTCACATTTTAAATAATGATTTTTTGCCTTGGAAAACTTCAAGAAAGGAACTACTGCAGTTTTCAATTTCACTCAGCCAGGGATGATAAGAGACAGTGTCTATTTCCACATAAACTGAGAAAAATGGATTTCACTATTTTCGATGATGTAGCAAAGAAGTAATGACCCTGTGGGATCTTATTACATGGCTGAAAAGTGAATTAACTTTGGCATAACCATATTGAGTGAATTACTCTAATGATTTGTTTCCTAACTCTTGTGGGTGATCTCATAACAATGCTCTCATAATCTGGGAGTATGCATGAGAGCATAAATTGATTTTGCTTTTCAAAATCCAAACTTTCTCAAAGGAAATCACTGAGACACTTTGTCATCACACTGCTGAGGGAAGCAGTTGTTACTATAGGCAATTATGACACTTTCTGTGTCAGTGATAAAACTGGTCCAAAGCACAGGCATGCACATATCTCATATAGACGTAAAACTGAAGGTTGACTCATATGAGAGAGAAGGAGGAGTTACTGACTTCCTCTGACTGGTCACCTTATTCACAGGACAGGCTGAGAGAACTGCAAAGCTACTCTGCCTTAAAACTGGTAATAAACATGAAAAGAAAATGAGCTGGAAGATAAAAGGTGGAAACCTTTCACTTTTACAGGAAAGGACCTTCTGTTAACAACATCTTCTGAGAGACTTGAAATTGTGGACACTCAAACTCATTAGTCATTTACAAATTAGAAGATTAAGTCCATACCTCCTATTTTTGTTGGCTGACAGATAAATAAGCATCAGAACTTGCAATAATGCTATCTAGGATTTCTCATTCAGCAATGATGAGAGTAGGGTGTAACATGGAATTAACTCCTCATTGCTCTGCTCTGAGTAAAATAAGCATTCTGGCTGTATTTAAATATGCCTGCAATGTGGCTGACTTGCCCTGGGTCAATGAGTTTCTGCATAGCACTGAACCTCCTTGGAGGCTGCTCCTGCGCTTCACTCTGTTCAATGCTTCAATGTCCTGGAGTCTCAATGTTATCCACTAAATTTGCATTAACACTAATTGAGGATGTGATCAGACAAAGTAATCAGCAGTAGTTCTGTCATTCACTGTGATTATTTCAAGTTGAGATGTGGGTAAATATGCAATTTTAACACAGAGATTTTAATTCTGTAGCAGCAGGATTAATGAGTTTACTTTGCATTGGTCATCACTGATGTGTGAAGTGATGGAAAACAGAAGCTGGCTATGTAGCAGAGGTGAGCACAGAACACACGTCCATGGTCATGCTCACCCTGCTGCTGAAGTGTTTCCCCTTTTAGATCTTGTTGTTTTAAACAGTTGTTTATTACAAAATCCTTGATGGAGACAAGGATCCTTCTGGAGACTAATTTTCTGGCACCTGTGAAAAGACCAGCTGTTGGGTGACAGCCTGTCAGATTTTTTTAAACAATCCAACAATAAAGGGCAAAAATACTGTGTCTGACAGCAGTAGCAGCAGTGGTTTTGCCAGGCAGCTAGTACAGCAGGTGGATTGTGAGGTACTACAGCACCATATACAGTCTGCCACAAAAGCCCTGCAAAAGGAGGGGAAATCCAAAACTGATCCATAAAAATGCAGATGAAGTAGTGCCACTCCCCTGTAGTTAGCAAACACTTCACTTGTTAAGGAATTAATTGATTTTTATCCTTCTTTCATCAAGGAAGAACTCGAGCAGAGTGCAAGAAAATAGTAAAGAGGAGCTGGTGGCTGAGCTGGGTAAGGAACCTCCCTCTGTACCCCTGGGAATCTCTCAGCCCTTACGCTCACCAAGATGATATTAGTTACCAAGAGCTGTTGCCAGCTGGTTGCAAAGAAAGACAATAAGAGGACTCTGAGGCAGTAATGTGCATTATCTGAGCAGTCCAGGTTTGAAATGCTGGTATTTTTCACAACACTTTGCTTACCTGTCTGGGAACAATAAAACTCATAGCAGTCATTTGAAATAGCAAGGAGCAGCTGTTTGCACTGTTGGTCGGCATAAATCTCAAACCATTTATAATAATAGTAAACTCAACCTGAGCTACAGCTGATCTCTAGTGATAAAATCTGATTTTCTTTTTGGTCACTTTTCCTGTGCCTGGAATATTTCCAACACAATCTCTTTCTTGAGAAAAGTAGTGAGACACACTCATAAATTCTCTGAACCAGATTCTCTTGAAGATCATGGAACTTCAAGCACCACAAAGGATGAAAAAACACTTGGCAGAGACTTTTGTCTGTACTATGTGTTGGTCTTCCATAATAATGATACCTTTGCAAGTGCCTAAACTGCAATAGCATGTTCATAGCTGTCACACTGCCCCACTGGAGAGGCCATCTGAATTTCCTTCAGTCATCAGAAGGAAAAATCCTTCAGAAATCAGTCAAGACTGATGTTTCAGAAGTCATCCACTACAGTCTCATTAAGTTGACTCAAACTATGAACAGTGGACAACTCATCCTTTTCTTATCATCTACCACTGAAAAGCTCTATCACTTTAACCCCTTCCTGAATGCTCCCTTTAGTCTTTTTGCTCTCGATCTTATAATTTCCCCCCCTGATTTTCTCCCTATACTCATTCTTCTCTGTCATACAAGTGTTGCTTTCTTTTGTCCCTACAACTGTTGTTGTAAAATAGAGGTACACTAGAGCAGAGACCTTGCACGACTACATGACTGGTGTTTACAACTGAGCAAACCCACCACAAACTTTGAGTGCTACTACATTATAAATTATAAAAACAAAACCACTATTTGACATCCAAGAGACACAGATTAAACTGCTCAGAGAATGCCTGTTTTTTTAGGGACAGAAGGACACTTCTGATTTTGTTTGACCTCCTCTCAATATAAGCTGTAGAATGTCACCCAATCAGCTCCATATTCAGCCCAACATTGTACTGGAGAACCAGGACATTTCCTTTAGAAAGTTAGCCAGGCATCAGATTACCTCTGGGGAAGCAACTACCCAAAGCTATGTGAGGTTACATTTTTCAGCAATCAGGAATATATGGCTACATCTGCAGTAGCTGATGATTAAACACGCTGCCCTGAGTGCAGCCCTCCTATTTTCCCCTTAATGCCTCTGCCATACCAGGATTTGAAGGGAGAGGAGAGGTATTAATTAACTATGCCCATATCTAATTCCTCAAGTGAGAAATGAGCATAATCCAAAGGCACAGGACAGAGTATTACTGTGTTGATGTAGCATTTGGGAACTTAGGTTTGTTATTTCCTCTAAGTACAGCTGTGCATTACATATGAACAGGTCAGATAGCTGCAAGAAGAATCACAAATTTAGGACAGCAATACAAATATTTTTGACATTTAAATATTATCCAACAAAGGTGCATAACCATTCTATTTGATGTAAATGAATACTAATGACAATTCACGCATTAGAACTCTCCTGGGGTAAAGAGAGGAGGGAACATATTTATATTATTTCACATTTTTTTGTGTAGCAAATTGATTCCTTATTATGCTTGGGAGACTAATTAATTCACCCTAGTGCTGGTCTGGCCTTTTTTTTTTTTTTTTTGCTGCTGCCCAAGTGGTCACTGATTAATACAATAGAATATTCAACATTGCAAATGTTGCAAATATCACAAGTGAAAAAAACCCTGGAGACGATGTAGCTTCTGCCTTCCCAAAGCCCAGTTGCTGTCCAGCTCAATTAATCTCCTTCCTCTCCTCCATCTTTCTTCACCCATAGGTCTCTTTAATATGCTTTCACTCCAATTTATGTTTTCTCTTGTTCCAAGGGCAATGTGTCCTCCTTCTAAGGAAGCCTGATGATACAACAGAATGGGTGGAAAGCTTGACTGGCTTTACTCATACATAAAGCGAAGATCTACTTTACCAGTGTGCATTATGAGTGACAGAAATCCACATTGACAATGAGTAACCTAAAATTCTCCCTATCCCAGCCACGGGATAACTTGTGTGGCTGTAATCACTATGTGCTGATATGAGAATACTCAGCACGTGAGATCCTATGGGATCTCAGAGGCTGATCTTTGACTATGTCAAGTTTCTCTGTACAAGTGAGTTTAGTTGAACTTTATTTTGGTGATGACCTTGCCAGACTGTGACCAGGGCCAAGGCTTTTGTCTTTTGCTCACTTTTCTGCAGCTAGGATGTGAATTCTAGCAATGTTCCTCTTCTGTGCAGCTCGTTGCGTATTAGGGTAGTGATCTCAATTGAAAACCTTGCTGTCCCTGTAATACAGAAAACAAAATTATGTCAACAGGAAGAACATTAGGAAAGAAGAAGAAGAAAGGTTAAAAAATACAGCAGTGTTCACTCAACAGATTCAGCTCACTTAGCACTCTGAGACAGAGCATGTATTTCTACTCCTTTTAACAGCATGGGTATGGCTATAGAAATGTCATGTAAATTGTCTCAAAAAGTGAAAATGCTGAATAAGTTTTTCCATGTCATATATCAAGCTGTTGCTAATCACTGATACTACAGTACCTTCTCCCATTTACTCCTACCAAGGATCTTTCTCTAACAAATACTGCCTCTAACACATTTTTCTTCCTTGTCATCCTGGCCCAATTCTGCACTCATGTTTTTCCCATGCTTCTAATTTGTTGGTTTGCTGCCAGCTCTCCATGACAGATGTATAGAGTCTGAGTGAGATGAGCTAATTTTCCCCATGGCACCCCTCCTGGTGCTGTGCTTTTTATCAGTAGCTAGAAAGGTGTTGATAACACACCGGTGTTTTGGCTACTGCTGAGCAGTGCTGGCACTGCAAGGTCTTGGGAGGGGACACAGCCAGGACAGTTGATCCAAACTGACCAAAGGGGTATTCCACACCATATGATATGTGCTCAGCAATAAAAGCTCGAGGAAAGAAAGACGGGAGGGGGGAAGCATTCATTATTTATGTTGTTTTTCTTCTGAAGCAACCACTACATGTGCTTAAGTCCTGCTTCCCGGGAAGTGGCTGGACATCACCTGCTGATGGAAAGTAGAGAATAAAATATTTTGTTTACTTTTGCTTCTGATCACATGACCTTAACTTTTCCTTTATTAAATTGCCTTGATCTTGACCCATGAGGTTTTTTCCATCTTGTTTTCTCCCCTCCCTCTCCCGATGAGGAGGGGAGTGATAGAGCAGCTTGGTGGGCAACTGACATCCAGCCAAGGGCAACACACCATAACAGGCCAGAGAAAACCATCACTCACAGGCAGCTTAATGGCTCTTCAGGGAAATTTAGGCAGCCTGAGTGCCCTTCAGCCACCCCTTGATAACACCTGTGAACAAAGGCACCATATTCTGTCAGAGTAATCACCAAAGAGAAATAAGGCTTCACAAGCTTTGTTGGCAGTCAAGTCTCCTGGGTAGGATCTGAACATTGAGAAAACAGAACATAAAGGTGTCAAAGGGCTTCAGGAGACTGGTGAGACTCAGCCTCCTGAATCATTTAGACCTTCTTTATATGTATAAGGAGGAATCATTCAAGGATCTCTTGGTGCTTTATGCAGAGACAAACTCAATTCATGTACTTTGGGAGAGCTCTAAAGAAACAGAAGCACAGGGGAAAGTAGAGGAGGGGCACCACAAGGGAAATCATATGGATTTTCCCCCCAGATATTCCATTATCTTAATGGGGCTTTTAAAGAATTTGTAATGCTGTGTTGAAAAGCTTTCTGCAAACCAGGAGAAATAATGTCTCTTTCCCCTAACAGAAACTGTCTTTTTCCCCTGAAAAAGCTGTCAATTCAGATGAGATTTTGTCCTAAAATATCAAAATGTTATTTTTGTTGTACTTATGCAGGTCATTTTGCCTTTTAGTATCTATTAATTATTCTTCTTTGTCTAGGCCCATTATAAAATATCCAGCTGATGCTGCTATTCTCAGCCTGAGGAAGCTACTTTAATGTCCAATGCTGTACTGTCAGGAACATTTATAGAACTGACCTGGGTTTTTTGGCTTGTGATTTTTTTCCTTTTTTTTGTTTGTTTGCTTGTTTGTTTTTTCCTTTATTTTTATTCATTCATTTCAAGCTGTCTCTTAGTACACTTCACAAAACTATTCCCCACCTTTCTTTGTGCTCATGGCCTTCAAAGGTCTAGATCTCCTTAAATATTTTCTCTTATCTTTTTTTGTGAGTGAATTATTTCCTAATTTGAGCTAGTTCAATTTTAACTTCCTTGAATTTATTTGTCTCATGTGGTCCATTGCATATCCAACCTGAATAGAATTTGCCAAAACTTTGTACTAAGTGAACAGTATTTTTCTGCTCTGTAATATGTTTGTTTTTGCAGTAATATGTTTGATTTTTTAGCCTTTTCAGGATGACCTGTGAAACAACCACTTTCTGATCTACTTCTTCAACAGTAATTGTTCCTGCCCATCTTAATCACCCAGCATGCAGTGTGTGCCTGAGGATTTGTTCCAAGTGATTAAGATGATTTCCCAAGTATGCGCCAAATGATCCTTATTTGATTTACATTTCTCTTCATTTTCACAGTTGTCTTCAAAATTATGAAGGTTCAATACAGGTTTTGTTGTTTTGGGGCTTTTTTTAAAAGGAAATTATGCTGAGAATTTCTCACTACCTTAATGCTTCTGATGTTCAAGGATATCGGTAATTTGTGTGTATGTAACTACAAAATTCTGGTTTGCTTGAAGTTTTGTCTTGTTATTCACCCTATATTAACAGTAGCAGAGCCACTAATGTACTTCATGATATTTCTGATACTTTGCTGAATTGAAGATAAAATCTAATAGTAACCTTTGTCACAAAGCAAATTTCTTCCTCTAGAGAGATGATGAACAAGCTTTCTGGTGTGCTTATCCAATAACTCAGCTGGTCACAAGGCTTCTGTATGGCTATAAATCCAGAGCAGGAAAATTATCTGAGTTATTCTGAAGTCACTGGTAGAATAATGGAATATGAAAATGTCGCAGCAGAGATAAAAGGATTGAATAGGTGCATTTATAATAGCTGGGATAAAATTAAAAGTGTTATCTAATTTTGTGCTTTAGGACATGAAGTGAATGCCAGCTTAGTTCAGAAATAAGTCCTTCTTCTGAACAGCGTATACCCCAGAGCACAAATAGTGACTGATTAGATTAGTTGGTGACATGGCTGCAATTTTTCATCTTCCTTTGCTGCAAATGCCATTGATCATTCTCAGAGATTAAATGAACCAGTGGTATCTTGTGGCTTAGAAATTCCCTTGTTTTGAATGACTACATTTCTGCTACAACAGAACTGATTTCAGCCTGGTCCTGCCTAGAGAAAAGCCTGGTGACAATTCTCAACTGCAAGGACATTTACATATCAGTTTGCTAAATAGAATGGTACCCAAATTTCAGAATTCATCAGCACATGGTCAAGTGATCAAATTGTGTGAGATTTAGATATATGGGAGTTTTAGAAGTAGCTTGATCTCTTCTCCACCTTTCAGGTGTGCTTTTAGAAATGTGAAAGACTGAGGAATCTTTGAGTTCCTCTGAAGTAGTCAAAAGAAAGATTATAAAACCAATTTATTCCAGAGCAAATAAAATCTTTTCAACTACCTCTATTTGTTTCTTATCTACATTAAGTAATAATAAATAAATAAAAATTAGGCAAGAACCATGCCCTTTCTCAAAAAACACAGTCACTTATCCACTGTGCTACTGCAACTAAGAAACATAAAATTGATGTAAAGGAACAGCAGATTTTTTTTTTCTTCTAGAGCAATATTTTCTTGTGATGGAAGTCAATTAGAGTTGTTCTCTGAGGAAACATGTAAACATCAGAGAGAACATTTTTTGTCTGAAAAGAAACAAAAAGAGTGGAAACATTTCTGATCTAGAAAGACATTTTCATGTGCCTCCGAAAAATGAAGAGAGACAGAAAAAGAGACTACTGTGGTTTTCTAGAAAAACATAATTCAACTTTACTCTTGAAAATTCCAGAGTTCTGATTATTTCCATTAATAAAATCTACTGAAATTGTTCTGTTTCTGACACTGTCTCACTTTGCCAAAATTTTCCACATGAGTTATTTCCCTTAAGCAGTGAAGAAAAAATGCTTCTAAAGCACTGCTGCCTGTTGAGATCAGGAGTTCAGGTAGGAAGAAGTGTTTATTTCCCCCAAATGTTCTTACAGGAAGATTGTTGCTTGTCTTCATCTTGAAGTTATTTTTTAACTCTTCTGGGAGGCACCTTCCTCTTTCCTCAAAAGACTCCTGTTTGTATTAGAGTGCCTTGAAGACAAATGTGATACTGCTCTGGGAGAAGCCTTGGATCCTGCCTTAGGAAACAAAAAAGCACTATGACTCTATCGAGCTGTGTGCCTGTCCCTGTGCAAACATCTATTATGGCCTGATACATCTATTATGATCTCATGCAGCCTGAGGTGGCTGAAGGAGTTAAACAGTGAGGCAAATAATGAGGTAAACAGCCTATCTGCACAAATAAGTGTTTGAATTGACATTTGAAAATGAAAAAACCCTGAAAAGTTTGCAAAGTAAGCCAGAAGGATCGTTGGAGATGTACAGCACCAGTGGCACAGCTCCTCCGCAAGGCTCTGCGTGCTGCAGACACCAGCTGACAGGGGAGATGGAAAAAGGAGACTGGAGACATGAGAGAAGGCACCACATTTTCAAAGTTTCCAGAAAATTCCAGGGGTCATTCTTAGTTTCCAGGGACAAATTCCAATTTGGACAACTTGCCAAATGCTGTCAAAAAGGAAGAAAGATCAAACAAACCATATAAGCAAGGTCTTCCTGCCAGCTCAACAGACAGTTGTGTCTCTCTCTTTTGTGAGAGAACCCTAATTGTCAGGAAATACCACAACTATTTGCTTCAGCAGATGACAGTCAGAAAAGCATAGAGAAAACACTAAATCCTTCAGAGGAGTATGGTCAGAAAACTCCAAACTGCTTCAAGTGATGAAGTTGATATGTTTTAGGGAATTAGCACCTGACATCTGGAAGTTTTAAACTCAGTACCAAAAGCAGGAGCTGGCTGTATTCCTTCCACTATCTTGCTAATGCAGAATAAAACCATGAATTAATCTTGTTGTTTCTGGTTTGTTTTGACTTTTTATTTTTTTAAATGATGATTTTTTTTCTTATCTAGATATTTGAACTGTTTTAACTACACACATTTTTTGGCAACAGGGAGGTTGCCCTGATTTATTTGCACAGATAGCTAGTCCTTTGCTGAAGTCCTTTATTTTTGAAAGACTCGACCTTAAAAAGCTGATTTTGTCAGCAAGGGGAATCTTATATTTTTGTATTTGTTTTTTTTTCTTTAACAACATGAGTGCGTCCAATTTAACATGAGAGTACTGATGTGATCTTTTTGACCTTCTCTCTCTCTTAAAAGTCTTTGGCTTTTAAGATATATATAATATAAATACATGCTAAGATACTTGGTGTAAAAGGACTCAGACATATTGTAGCAGATAGATCAATGGAGGTGAATAAAATTAACACAGAACTAGCTAAACCCAAACAAGACCAATGGCTTCCTTGCTGCTTCACAGAAGTCTTGACATGGGTGGCATTTCTAATTTTTTTCCAGAGATCACTTGTTCTCATACTAATAGCTGTGATAAAATATCTTCTGGGCATGTCTCTAAAGCAGAGATCTAAAGTCCTCTCTAGGCAAAGATGCTTTTACAAGGAATTTCTTGGCTTTCAAGAAATTATATACTTGTCATTACACTAATGTTGTAGTTTCAGTTTTTTTATGACACTTATGCAAACACAGCAAATCTAAATAGAACATATAGTGAGGTCCCTACGTGAAAAGTCATCACATCTAATCTGATTTTAATAATACTATATTAGTATTTCAGGGTTTCCTGTTTGCTTGGCCAACAAAGACTATTATTCTGCAACCTCTCATCTGTAGTTGTGGTTGCTTTTTTGACTTGATTTGGTAACAATATTTTAGAAATGCTGAGGTCTTTCCAATGCCTTAATTCCAAAGGTCATGGGAAAAACTCTTATCCTTGAGTGTAACCACAGCAAAGTGAAGCCAGGCCCAGAGATAATATCTTTGAATGATAAAGAAAGCAGATTAAACACATGGGACTGTCCAGAGACATTTACACATAGGGCAAGCCGTTAATGGGCAATGAACTAATGACACATCTTCAGAAAATGTTTTCTCTGTGCCCAGAACCACTAACAAGATACGTAAGAGACATACACTTAGCCACATATTAGGCACTCAGCTTGGGTGACTAGTGTCCCAAGATACCCAATTTAGTTGATATAGCAGGACGAGCTTCTCCAGACAGCAAGTCAGAGCAGGAGCTGCAGAGGTGGCAGGGAATATTTCTCATCGTGTTAAGGAAGAATTGAGTCGTAGCAGTTTAATATGTCAGACCTGACTGTAAAATCTCTTTATCTGCTTGGTGCAATCAGGGATTGAAAGCATATATCTGTGCTATGAGGCACTGAACACACGAAGGCACAAGCAGTTACCTATGGGACTAAACAAAATGAGAACACTACGCAAGCAAATGAAAGAAGAAACAGAAACAGTAAGGCAGGAGAGAACAAGCCAAAATGCTACAAACATATGCACTTCTTAGTCCTTTCGTGTTATTCTTCATGTGTATTCTCCACTGGTTCAGCTGCATTGTTCTGTTTATTAAAACCATGTGGAATTTACAAAAAGCTTAAATAAGTCCAGCAGAAACATCCCACAATTATTCTAAACTGTGGGACACAGTACATTGCAGAGAGTTAAAGATGAGATGGGCAGTGCCTGTTAATAGCAAGAAAAGCCCATACAACTTGCAGCCTGGTGTTTTAATTAACAGCAAATATACCAGAGATGAACGTTATAGATCTATGCTTAATTCTCCTTTGAGTCATTGCACTTCTGTAAAGGAATCTGCAAGGATACAGTTCTATCCTGTGCATGAATGGTTTTAACCTCTGTGTGGCATCATCCTGACAGAGCTTTCCTCTTCATTTTGTATCCCTTATGTATTTCTGGGCTTCAGCCAGAACCAGAACCAAAAATGAGACACTGTAACTCTGAAGATATTTCTATCTGGGAACCCAGACATGGAAAATCTCATGAGAAAGCATGCTGTGCAACTGCCAGACAGGTTTGGTGAATTTGAAAGGTGAGAGCAGCCTGGACAAAACTTCACATTGATGATTATTTGTGCGATTTGGATGTAAACTATTAAAACTTCCTAATTAGTCTGAATAATGTCTGTGCCTATATTCACTCCACTGGGAATGGATCTGTAGAGCAGAACAGCTGGTACTGAGGACCTGTTATCACTGGGTTTATTCTGGGAGAGATTTACATCAGACAGGCTCCCAAACAATTTGCATTTTCTGAAATTCCTCTGCAATAATAACCAGAGTATGACAAGTGGAATCAAAAGCACACCTCTGACCCAAGAAGAGGTGGTAATGTACACAGGCCTGAAGGTACTTGGCAATGAAACCTCGTACCTGAATAATGCTTTAAATTATGAAGTTGTTTTATAGACATTCATTGTAGACTATTGGAAAATGGACTTTCAACAGAAAATAAATTAATCCAAGATCTCTTAAATTCCAAAACATTTGTCTGAGATTTCAACGAAAAAATATTGGTGAAAATTTAAACACTTCTTCCCCCCTCAGAAAAACATACCAAGATATTTTGATTCTCCATTTCTTGGCTCTTCGCATCACGCTCATCTGATTCACTCAGTGAGGTTCCCAAATCTTAGCTCTGTGCTTTGGAAAAACAAGATCCATCTGGTAGATGCAGACAACACCAAACAAAAAGGATTAGCTCATATGATACTTTTCTCATTTTCATTCTTAATCTTGGGAAGGACCCAGAACAAAAGTCACAATAAGAAAATAGGATTCTGTTTCCAGTGGAAGAAGTTAAGTGCCCACCTGTCAGGTAAATTAAGGTTCTCCACAGTTTGCAGCCACTCTTTATAACCAGCCTAGGGAGGCAAACTAAATAGCTCAGTGTTGCACTAGACTCATGAATTCAACTATCAGAAGCCGAATAAAGAGAAAGCTATGACTAATTCACTGCCCAAGAAACTACTATTACTGATTATTACACTGTCCAAGAAGTGAGAAAACAACCAGAGGTTTCCCTCACTTTTAGTTCAAATTCAGGTGGAGTTTGATTTAACACTAGATGAAAAATAAGTCAGGTATGTGGATTTTGTAGCTGTGAAACCTCTAACTCCCTGTATGTTACATGGCCTCTCCACATACAAAGAAAAGCCAGACCAAAAAGCAATTCTTGCCTGCTGAAATGGAGTGTCACCACTACCATCAAAAGTACTATTTAACTGATACACATGTAAAAGCTGTGCATTTCATACAGTAGAAATAGGGGGACACACGCAGACAGTATAGAATTATAATACACTATGTTTAAAATAAAGAGAGGCACATCTCAGTTCAGGGGTCATTCAGTGTCTGCAACACCTCTGGGTACACATAAAAGATTTGATTTTTCCAAGTCTGAATGCCTCTATGGTAAAAACAGCCTGGGAGAGCCTTATTTTGCCAAGGAGTTTGCTATTCAAATGTGATGCATGTAATTAAAGGCATTTGCATCAAATTTCCGCATCCTCAAGGCTCAGCTTAGAAACATACACATCTGTCACAACCTGACATGTTCAATGAAAGAGGAAATAGAGTTGAAATCACTACAGAGGGGTTATTTTTAACTGGAGAACAAGTCAAAATACAAAGGAAGGAGACAAGAAAGGAAAGCATGCAGGGACTGTCAAGAGCATGTCAAAGCTGCAATGTTAATGGTAAAAAATCAGCATAAAGCTTTTTAATTTCATGTCCTTCATCTTCAGGTCTCAACAGTTATAATAATTCTTAAACATGTGATGTGTTTTTTACCTAAAGGTTAATGATCTTTATTTATAGAAACTCAAGGAGAAGCTCATCACTTCCCATGGATGGCAACAATCTCCAGAATAGATTTTTATTCATGGGAATTACTGGGAAGATTTAGCACACCTGGGCCTGTTGATGTTGTCTTCAAATTTTAGGGACCAGACAATGTTCTCTTTCAAAATGTCCTTCAGATTATGTTGGTGTTTTATCAGACTGCATAAAGAGGGTTTTTGGCTAATAGTGCCACATACCTCTGCTGTATGACTTTTACTATTAAAATTTTCTTTTCTTGAGGATAATTTTAGGTAAATGGTATTTACCCAGTGTTCTGTTTTCAGCTGGGATAGATTTAATTTTCTTCCTAGTAGCTGGTACAGTGCTGTGTTTTGGATTTACTTAGAGAGTAATGTTGATAACACATTGATATTGTAGTTGTTGCTGAGCAGTGCTTACAGGATTTGTCAGCTTCACATGCTCTGCCAGTGAGGAGGCTTGGGGAGGGCACAAATAGCTTGGATGGGACATACCAGGACAGCTGATCCCAGCAGCATGTTCAGCACACAAAATAGGGAGAAAGCTGGCCAGGGGCCAATGCTCAGGAACTGACTGGGCATCGGTTGGTGGTGAGCAACTGTTTTTTCATTTGCATCACTTGTTTTTCTTGAGGTTTTTTCCTCCCTATTTCTGTTATTTTCTCCTTTATTACAATTTTATTATTATTATTATTTCAATTATTGCACTGTTCTTATCTCAACCCATGGGCTTTCCTACTTTTACCTTTCTGATTCTCTCCTCATCCCATGGAGGGGAGAAGGGGAGAAATAAGTGAGCAGTTGCGTGGTGCTTAGTTATTAACTGGGTAAAACCACAACCTCCAGGCTGTTGAGGACCTCCAGATTCCTTCTTTAGAGCCATTTTGGATGCCACACTGGTACCACTTAAAAATAATGCCAGTAGTTATGCGAGCAAATTTCCTCTTCTGAAGGTAACATCCTGCTTTACAGTTAGGTAATGTTCCAAACCACGGGCATCTAGCTGAGACTACAAAACCAGCTTAATCAGGGTTAAACTCCCAAATTCCCACTGTTGATTGCACTAGGCTTAGTAGAACAAAAATATGCAGAAGATCGAGAGTTGAATCAAACAGCTCTTCCTTTAAGCAAGGTGAATATTTTGAGTTGAAATCCTGGTCAACTTAGGTCCATGGTAAATGCTTATTATGACAGCCTTCTATTTAAAGCAACAGAAAAAGCTTCTCTGGCAAACTAACAAAACCCCAGACAGTTAAAACATTCAAAATTTAAAAGAATAAGGAAAGCTTTCATTTTAACACTAGCTCTTTTTCCCTTTCCCTTTGGATGTAGAGAAATTTTTTTCTCATGTTGCCTCTTCCTTGACTGTCTTTCTGTTGGTAATGGAGGTGGCATTAATTGCCCTCTTGCACGTCAGTGTTATCTAAAATGAGCTGCTGAAGCTGCTGCTGTTGATCTCTCTTATGACCACGAATATGTTTTGTTGGAGACATAATAGGACAAATATCCAGAGAGTGAGGAAGAAAGAATAGCAAAGATAAATGTGCAGCTTCTGATTCTGCAGATCATTGCATAAAGTGTCTCTGTAAGAGAAACAAGTTTTGGTACATATCCTTATCAGCTGCCTAGATCCGGGTAAACATACTTCACCTACTGGTTATTTGAGACAGAGCTGCCTTCCTGCTCACAGGCTGAGAGCAGCACGGCCACAGTCTTCTTTTTCTCAAATTAGATTCTTTTCCTTAGTAAAATGCAAAGAAGGAAGAAAGGAAACAGAGTCAAGGATAGAAAGAGTGCACACTCAGAGGTGGGCAGCAGTGGAAAGATAAGCAATCCTCCAGGTGGGAAACATTAATTTTTTTTGTGGCACATTTTGTTCACTTTTCTCAAAAGGTTGGAGAAATAAAGGGAGACTGACAACTCTGGTGGAAGCTGTGGTCTCAAAGGCTTGCAAGAAGGTCAGAAAGGGTGGAGAAGGTTATTTATTTCCACCCATTTGTAATGCTGGTTTCAGTATTAAATTAAAAAATCTCAGAAGAGGTGTTTTCTCCATCCTCTATTCTGCTCACACTTCTTTCTGATGTTTCTGTTCAGTTCAGGGACTGCCATTTGTTTAATAGCAGAATGTAAGCCAGGTGGTTAAATGGTACCAACAGATTTAAAACTTGATTACATCCATCTTTACATCTTTAATTTTAAGCTAAATGTATAATTTGCAATTGTACTTTTTTTGTCTCAGTCAGCATATATTGTCTGTACTTCACATTCAACCTTGAAAACACACACATTTCCTTTTGAAACTTTTACAGGAACCTTCAAGTTTTTGATTTTCATCTTTTTATTTGCATTCTCCTTCTGCTATAAGATAAGGCCTTAAGTGATGAAAAGCATTTCATCTGCACAACTAGAGTTATTGATTTAGCATCCAAAAAGAATTCATCATCAGATTTATATCCTGCCCTCCATTAATTTAACTAGGCTTCCACAACCATAGTCTCTGGAGACAAGCCTACATGAAGAAATATATTCTCTGTTAATTCCATGTTGAAAAATCAGTGTAGTGTCCCAGAACTCAGTGTTAAAGTTCATCTTACTCAAATTTAAAAAAGTTTCACTCCTTTACATGCTACAATGGTATTTTATGTTGCAGTCACCAGTGACATGAAGAGAACAGATGCTGAATGGTACCTGAACCAGGTAGAGATTAAATATGGTCTCAGAACCCACAGCAGTTCTGTTCTTATGATCCTCTGCCACCCTTTCTGACTTCGTGGGGGATGTTTGTGGGATGCTGGTCTATGGATGGAGTACCTCATCCCAGGCATTGGGAGCACTATAGCATAAAGTTCATCAGTGCATATTTCATCCATCATAACAACAACTGGCCGTGTCAGTGGGAACATAAACACAAATGACCTTCAATAAGACTGGAATGGTCTTCAGGACCCACGAGCATTGTTAACTGTCGTGGCATTTATGGATGCTTTGATGTACAAAAAAGCATGATAGTTACATTTCCAATTATGAGTTTAGAAGGCTAATTTATGAAAACCATGTTTGACAATAATGCAGCTGAGGCCTCTTTTAGTAGTCCTGATGTTACATCAGATGTAAAGGATGCTGCATGGACTTATTCCACACTCCAACCAAGAAATATATTTTTTTCTTTAATATAAGCAGCTAGTTCTCTACAATCATATTGCAGACAACTGAGTTGCTCAGAGATTTTCATGTCAGCTTCATGAAGCAGTAAGGAAGGCTTCCCTGCAGTCCAAAGCCCGGAGTTTGCTGCCATGACTTCCAGTAGGTTGTGTGAACAGGGTGGGAATACAGATGCCCATTTAGATTATTTTAAAGCCATCCCAAAACAGTAGCCTGAGGAGCCTAGTGATAGCAGTGCTCAAGTACTTTGCTATGTATTTGGTCTCATTAGAATTACTTTCTTCAGTCTTTTCTCTCCTCCTGTCTTTTCTTTCCCAGAAGCCCTGAAGTAGAATGTCAAAACAAACAGTACTCAACTGGGAGACAAACATTTGATTTTGTGATGTTAAAGTGAGTTTCAGATGAGGTGAAACTATCCTACAATGCCCCAGAATACATCTCAATTCACACAGGGGAAGAACTTACCTAAAAATGAAATAGCAACCTAAATCTACAGAGAGCTGCTAAATCACTTCCATATTCCAGCTGATATAATAATTTCTAGGAAAGCTCCACAAAGGCCTTCATACAAGTATGAGGAAAGTAAGCTGAGACATAAACATTAGGTTATTTGTGCAGAAGGCCAAGGACATACTAAAGTGTTTTCCTATTTTTCTGTTCTTCATGTTCTGTGAAAAATCAATATTCCTCTCAGACGTGTTATATTGTACATTGAGTTGCATAGCAGTACCTTTGCACTGCATGTACCTTACTCTCTTTGAAACTGCTGGAGGCTTGGATAGAATTCAAAATAATGACAGGTTCTGCTAAAAAGTCTGAATCAGAAACTTCAGATCTGCTTCCTTCAGTTGAAAGTAGTGGAATTAGTCTCTTTTTTTTTATTTTTTTTTTTTCAGGGCTAGGGTCAGCCCTTAAGGAGGACAAAAAATTGGACCAATTGAGGCATTATGTTCTGACCAGGCAAGAGTAAGTGACCTGATTGCTGCAGTGGAACTGGGGAACATTCGAGAGATCGCACTGACCTTGTAAAGTCCAAGTGATGCACACCACTGGAAGAGAGTGGTTCTTATAAAGACCAAGAGTAGTCTTGCCATGACAGCAAAACAAGACAGAAAAGAAACTATTTCCACATGCAAACTTCCAGCAGTCTTTACTGCCCCGAACATAAAGAATCAGCGACCAAGATGACATTTCTCTTGTGCATTTAACAGCTGCAATGCAGTCAAGTCCCACTGAAACCAAGAGAAAAGGGATGTAGTTTTCACACTATATGTCAAAACAGTCTAGAAAACGTCATCTTTCCTTCCTCAGCATTTATTCTGTTTGTCTTGGTTACCTTGCAATACATGACCAGAACAAAACAAAACAAAAGCATTTTATCACCCAAAGAAAACTTACCAGATTTGAAACATTTTTGCCTTCCATTTAAGGACACACACACACACACACACACGCAAAAAGACGTGAACATTTTCACAAACTGAAAATCTCCCAAAAACTAGATAAAATTTTCCCTAATTTTATAGTTTGTTTTCCGTTTCACCAGATATGATTACTTCTGCAAATGAAAATTTAAAACAAGAGAGTAAAGCAAAGCAAAAAGTACTTCTGAGTGTAAGAAAATTTTTGGTTGTTTAGTGTGTCAAAATCAAGCTTTAGGTGATTTCCATGTCAGCATATTGCAAGAACTGGCAAGTGAAATTGAAAGCAAAGTGCCTCAAGGACGGCTGTAATTTTGTCTCAAAATGGCACTTTTCCCCTGAAAGCCACAGTGAAGTGAATATATCTTGAGAGTTCAATGAGTGCTGATGTGATGCCATTGTTAGAAAAGCTGATGCAAACCTACCAGATTGTTCTTCAGTACCACATGTATGATGATCTGCAGAGTTGCTCTCTGATCTCCTGTGCACCAGACATCTACCAACCGGTTGCCTGGAAAGGACTCAATGACATAAGTAGATAAAATTCCAGAGTTACATAGCAAAATTTATCAAATTAGTTTTCAAATGGAATATGTGTTGACCTCAGCTCTTTCCTGGAGCAGGTTAAATTTTAACAAAATCAGTATTTTCCAATAGACAAATATCCTCGAATCCCTGCTCAACTCTCATATAAACTTTCAGTACTACTGCCCTTTGGAGACACACACATTTGCTTTAGCCAGGCATTGTGCCATTTCTTCATCAACTCAGTCTTAGTATTCATCTTGTATTTTACATGGGAAAGTGAACCTGAAGAACAAGAAGAGGATCTAAAAGAGGATAGTACCTCATTAAAAAGTACCTTATAAAAAAGGAACATCAATTGACCTGGAGGCAAAATAATTTTATTGCAGCTCCCTCAGCAGTGAAATACAAATGACTACAGCCTGTTTTACTAGGAAAATTAAGCTCTGATCTTCTGTTCCAAGCATCCAGCATTTAATACATTAAAATATGATTTAACCTTCTAGTCAGGTTGGCACTGGTGTACTACTCTGACTTGTGTACTACCCTGACTGAGGACACAGGAGATGTCCTCTAATGCCTTGGTACACAATGGCACCTACTACAAGCACAGCTGACAGCACTGAGACTGAATTTGCTGTGTAACCCATTCTCCATGATCAATTATTCAGAATTTAGGCTACCGTTTGGAGATGAAGTTTATACATTATGTCTTTTTGCCTTCCCACCCACAACTGACAGACTGGGTAATTTCAACAAAAATTATTCTTTATCACTGCTGAAATCATGGTGAAGGGAAAATACATTACGTTGGTTTGATTGGGAAGAGTCCTGGTCTTCATTTTTCTGAATACTGATTTCCCCTTCAGTCTCTGGAGATGTCATTTACATTTGGGAACAGAATAAACTCTTGTCAATGTCTTTTGCCGTGTGAAAAAATTGTCCAAATTTGATCAAGCCATAAGGCTGGGAAAAAGCAATTTACATACCATGTGTTCTCTAGAAACTTCATATTCTGTTACCCTAATCTTCAAAGATTTCATCTAGAGAATAATGTTGCGGTCTAGTCTCAGAGCTCTGCTCTCTACATCAGGGTATACTGAAACCTAATGTACTGACAATTCTGTGGAGCTTGCTTTAAGAAAAAGTTACAAAAAGCAGTGCACATTTATTTTAATAACAGGTTTTGTATGAACTAGAAATCGTTGAGAGTTAATTTAGTAAGGGAAACTGTTTATATAATGTAAGTATTCCTGATGATACCATGTATTTTGCTGTTTTGGAAATTAGCAAAAGAAGACTGTCAAGAAAAAAGAACAGGTAAGAGTGGTCTGAGACAATCCATTGTAATAACAAATGAAATGACATGTACTATAGGAGGAGTTCATGAGTTATGGTAGCAAGTTCTGTGACCCATAGTCATGGGACTGGTATGTCTACACAGCAAAATTAAGGAAATGTTAATTTGGGAGATATTAAGATGAACACAAACAATAGGGAACCAGGAGCATTAACAGATTTGGTCTAACACATTAAAGATTCCAACTTCATTTGTTCTCCATTTTGGGATTGGCAAAATTTCATAATTGCAGTTTTGGCATACATCTGTTTGCTTGGCTTATCTGATAAGTGTGCTCAAGCAAGGCTATGAGACTTTGTAGGCATAATACTTGTGTGATATCTTTTGCTTTGGAAACAGATCTTAAACAAATCACCCTCATCAAATTGAATTTAAATTAATTCCTTCAACGGCTATGAGTGCTAACCAGATGTGTTCATACATTATTTTAGGAAAACAGCAAAGACATAAGGAGAAGAAAAAAGATCAGGGACCAATTTGAAGGGAACAAAATGAAGTCCATGCATATAATGGAGAAGATATCTCCCCAGACATCCAAAAGGTTTTAAAGATTTCCACATCTTTGTTCATTGTCTGAAAGATATCAGCTGTGAAACAACCATGAGAGGGAAGGGTTTGCTGGCTGACTTCTACAAAAAACTTACTAGGAGTTAAAGAACAAACTATTTAATTCTAGAGAAAGGCTGGGAATTAAACAGAACATTCAAAAAGTGGTGGTGGGCAGTAGGGGAGGGAGTAGGAAGAAAAATAGGTAGAAATAATAAGAAAGCACTGCTTTGGCACAGGTGGAGAAAAAACTAGCAGAGGACATCCAGAGCAATAAAAAGGGATTCAACAAATAAAATAGTTTCAAAAGAACTTCTGGGAAAAGTTGGATCTGGTGCTGAATGGAGAAAGGGCATAGTGATGGATGATTTAGGGAAGGCTAAAGTGTTCCCTGCCTTTCTTGCCTTGGCAAAGCCTGCTCCAGTACTTAAGTATGTACCAGCACAGCCAACAGAGAGTCAGACATCACTGTGCAAGGAACAGGTGCTGTCATGCTGAGCTGCACTGGCTAATCACAATGTGGACTGCTCAGTCTGTTGACCCTGAATTGATGGTGTTATTTTTGTCTGTGGTCATTAGTTCTCTAGACAATTTTACCTACAAGAACAGGAAAGGTGGAAAGAGGAAAGGATGAAGTAACCCACAAGCCTTACAAATACTGAGCTTTTCAAGTGTTATTCCTGTATGTGGCACAGTACTTTTGGAGATGGCACATTTCTGTGCCCAGTGTGAGGGGATGGGGTAGCACACTGCAGTGCTGTGTGCATGAAGAAATGCTTGTCTCTCCCTTTCTACCTTGTCCTTCATGCTCACAACTCCCTGCTTCCCAAAATTAACATTTGAATTGAAAGTTCAAAAGGTGTCAGGGCTAACAAGGATTACTCATACAAATCAAAGGCAACCAAAACACCTCACAATCTGCCCAGTCATAATGCCTGCATTAATAAAAAACCCAGTCAAAATCCAGAGTTTAAGTCATCACTTATGAAAGCTCTTCATGTTTTCTGTGCTTGGAGAGCAATGTGCTACTCTTAATCACAATGATGTAAAGAAATCTATTCAGAAATCCACAATTTCATTTTAATGTGGCATCTGCAATGACTAAGCTGGCAGTAAACACACAACACAGAAGTTCTGCTCCTTCACCTTAAAAGACTCACAAGTGAAACATCCTGTGTACCCATTCACACTCCAGATGTTAATGGACCCTAGAGTTATTCTGGTAGGAAAACTGTATCAGATGCTTTCTCTAGAGGAGAGAGGGAGGGAAGATTCTGTCCTGAGAAGTGAAAGCTCTGGGCAAGAAGACGAGAATGGTGATTTGCTGCTTGGCAGCTGGTCATATGAATAGTTTTAGACAGAAGCAAGAAGATTTTCTGACATATAAGTTTCTCAATTTTTCCCTTTGCAAGGGCACTTTCACTACAAGATCAGATGATGTTTAAGCGCCAGCCTATCTTATTGTAAGCTTAAACATAAAGATAGTATTTTTCTCAGTGGACTTCCCCTAAGCCACAAATGCATCTGGTTTTCCTGTGCTGTTGGCTGTGTGTCCTTCCTGCTGTTTGGTTCGATAACTGTCACCTTCACACAACCAGTTTTACCCCAGCCATCGCCGTGGTCTGGATGCTCAGCTGATACACGTCTGTATAGCTCCAAGGCTGTCAGCACAAGCACACAGATTAGGCCTGTGTCTATCCCCTGGACAACTTCATTCTTTACAAACCAGAGGTTTTACCTTTTCTTTGCTCAGTGTTTAAGGAGAGCAAGTTTTGTCCAAAATAACTGGCTTAAAAAAATTGCTAAGCTGGTGTATGTTGGTACTTATGATTTGCATTCTTGATTGTTACAACTCTCATAAAATGTTTATAAGTTGTCACTTAAAACGATACTTTCAGAGACAAGACATATGGCAAGTTAACCAAAACAACACTTTTATGGAGAGACTTGCTGCTCACAGCAGCTGGCATACAGCTATTTAACAGGATACACTCACCCCTCAGAGTCTTACCCAGGAGGCATCCAGTCCTGAAAATGCTGCACTTCACTGCAGACAGCAGTAAAAGGTAGATACAGCAAAGCAAATATTTTAACTTGTGTAGCAGAAGGAGTCTAACCAGGGCTGCAGTCTAACCTTGCTGTGAGCTGTTCAGCAGGGTAAAAAATGGTGCTTTCCCAACTGAACCTATCACCCGTCCTTGGAATTGGGACTGTAACCACAGCAAGTGGCAGTGGGGCTCATTTGGTGAGTAAAAGTGAAATTTTAATGATCACAGAAAGAAAGCAAAGGACTTAAAGATGTTTCAGCAGGAGAATTTTAGCTCCATGTGGCCAAGAAGCATACATGAACTCTGCTGATGACTTTCTGTCTCACATCCTGTCATCCAGGGACAAATGCCATTACATTCAAGATCATGGGAATTTTACAAATAATGTGCCTGCAGTGATTTTCCAACTACTGTAATTTATACTGGATGAGTACTTGGCTAAAACACTGTATTTCCAAACCTAACTAATCCATTTAAAATTAATAAAGAGATGAATTAAAAAAATATTCTGAAAGAGAGTTTTTCAGAGAAAAACATTTCACAGCCTGCCACGAAGACTTCAGATGATCTTTAAATAAAGAGCCAACAAAAATATAAATTGAGACATATGTTATCCCCAGGAGTACAGAAGTTACATTAGCACTAAAAATATTTTATTGTTGTATTTTTTTATAAACTGGAAGGTGTCTGTATATCTACTCTGTAACCAAAGACAAGTGTATAAACAGCCAAGTGCCAGGAGAGCCTCAGGAAGACTTCTCGATAACAAGTTGCAACTGCAATAATAGAAACTACTTGCATTGAATCCTTTTCCCTGCTATCCAACTTCCTAACACACAAACAGAGCTAGGGCAAAAGAATTATATTCTGATTACCTTGGTGAGGTGTGCTCATATACTCAAGTGAAATTCCTGTGCAAATTTATTTATTTTTTACAGAAAAGACTCAAAATGGATTTTGGACAGCACCTCAGTAAGGCTCATTATTTCCTCTCCTCAGCAGCAACCTCATCTTGCTGGAGAGTAGCAAAAG